TGAAGCTCTTATTTCAAGCAATTTGTATTCAATAAACAATTTTTAATATTACTTATTTGTTTATATTTACCGATAGCAATTTTAATAATCTAAATTAAACAAAATCATCCATTAATGAATAATTGGAAATATATATATTTTTTTAATAAAGTAACTTCTGGTAATGTCAAATATTTTTTGAATACGAAATTATATTTTTCCTAGAAGAAAAATAATTTATTAGTTAATTTGTAGGTGATAATTTGGTAGCAAGGGATGGCACTAGGAGCCGAGGTCGGAATAAGAGAAGATGGGAGAATGACTTTAGGACTTCTCTGGATAAGAATCGCGACTGATAGAAAACAATGGAAAGAATTGGAGGAGGCTTTTGCCGTAAGACACACCAAGCTGAGAGACTTTGTAACATTTGGATTATATCGGATTTGCATTAGATAGGATACAGAATATCTCGGTCACGTACTGAGACATGATAGATACATGCTGCTTCATCTTATAATGATGGGTAAGGTGGAAGGGAAGAGTAGCACTAGGCGAAGGAAAAACTCGTGTCTACGCAATATACGCGAGTAGACTGACATCAGCTCTGTAGAACAACTTTTCCGCCTGGCCAATGACAAGGACCAATTCAAAAAGTTTGACGTCCAACCTTCAGGAATAAAGTGGCACCATCAGCAGAAGAAGAATTGTTATAGTTAGTTTATAGATGTCCATGAGCGGCGCTGATCGCTTACCATTAGGTGATCCATCTGCTCGTTTGCCTTCTATTCCATATAAAAATAGACATCTTTTAGCTGATATTGATGGCATGGTAAGTAAATTAAATAAAAAACATTTCATATCAAAATTCATAGCCAAGCCACGAGCCGGTCGCGGAGAACCTAACGGGTAACCGGGGCTCCGGCTCGAGGTGCAGGAGAAGGAACGGGGTGGTTTTTAGTCAGTAAGAGTCTGACACTCCCTCCCGCCTCACCCAAGCGGGAGCAGTCATTCGATGATTTTCCCCCTTAAAAAAAAGCCACGAGCCAAGTCTTCATCCCTAAGTTTACGTGCCTCATGATTGACGTTTAAATGCCCTACAATTAATTAATGGTTTACACTACTCAAACATCGTTATTTCTATATTATTGCTTATAAGTTAAAGGTAAGTTCTATTCTGTTTGATAATATAGTTCCCTTTTAACATGTTTAATTGAGACTTTGCTTATAAATAGACATATAGGATTGCTTTGTGTGGCATCTCTATTTATATTTTGTGGCTAATATTTGACAGTGTATTAATTTTGATGAGTCTGGTGACATTTTCAATTACGTATTTAACACGTTAAACACCATGGGGGTCACCGGTGACCGGCGTTAGCGGAGGATTTCCCTTAAACAGTTTTTTATTGGCAGTCAAAGTCTTAATTATAACTGTCTTGGCCGTAAGTGCGACGGCAGGGCAAGGGGATTCCTGGGTAAAACAAAGTATTACTTGGTTTTTAAAAAAAAATCTCAGCAATGTCACGAAATCTGGAAATGTGGCAATAGGCTCATCCCATATTACATGGGACCCTTAACATAAATAGTTAAAAGATGAGTGTTACATTGTACAGTGGCATTAAGTACCGTAATGTGCACCTGTGCCTATCCTTCGAGGATAAAAGGCTTGAAGTTATATGTTTTGCGTGTAAAACACTACAAAATCAAAAAGAGGTAAAATAAAATCTCATTTCTCTTTCATACATAAATACTTGTCAATCATTTGATATATTCTACAGAAAATCCCCAAAATTTGTTCATGCAAAAGTAGTCTCTAAACATCGGAAATAAGGTCTATAATGGAGTTAGTAGAAAGAGGTCAACGGTGACCGCTGAGATATTTGTAAAACGTATTCCTAGTTTTCCATTTCGTTGTCCCTTTCAGCATTATTAAATACTAGCTTTTACCCGCGGTTTCGCTCGCGTCACAAAAGGATAAAAAGTAGCCTATGTGACTATCCATCCCTTCAACTACCTTCAGTTAAAAAAATCAGGTTAAATAGTACCTCCGTTCTGCCGTTTAAGACAGGCAAACAAACAAATAGCTTTCCGCTCGCGTGGAATTCGGTTATATCGCGCTATTTAGATTTTTTCCAATAAGTAGGTAATTTGTTGACTGGTTTTAAATAACATACAGCGCCATCTATACCAATACGCACAGCGCCATCTATACCAATATTTTTGTTTTCCCTCAGAAATATCAATTTTTCCGAGATTAAAAGTACCCTATTATTTAATCCGGACTTCTAACTTTACGTCTGCAAAAATTCAAAGCAATCGGTTGAGTAGTTACGGCGTGAAAGCAGAACAAACAAACAAACAAACAAACTCACTTTCCGATTTATAATATAAGTAAAGATGTAAGGATTTTTTGTGGGATACGAGGAGACGGAACACCGGGTGGTAAGCGATCAGCGCCGCTCATGGACACCCGTAATACCAGAGGACACAGGTGCGTTGAGAACCAACCCTTATTAGACATGTTTAAACAAAAACAATGCTTACAATGTGTACACATTCACCTCATTTATATTCTTTGCTTAGCCGACACCTTACAGTTTAGTAGAGTCAGGAAGCCGATAAAGATTGGTCATATATTATACTTTTAAGTGTTGGGTCGTTAGGTAAGATTTAATTGTTACCTATACTTATAATTAGTCGCGGGGAACCTAACGGGTTACTGGAGCTCCGGCTCGGAGTGCAGAAGAAGGAACGGGGTGGTTTTTAGTCAGTAAGAGTCTGACACTCCCTCCCGCCTTACCCAGGCGGGAGTCGTCATTCGATGATTTTCCTCTCTTAAAAAAAATACTTATAATTAATCGTAGGAAGTTTAGTTTCGTCAGATTAATTAATTATTATGTTTCATTTCGGCTAACTCATGTAACTTTTTGACGTGACACTCGACTAGTTTTTAGGCATACTAGAGGCTTGTGCCTGCATGAGCAGCATTCTGCAATCGACGCGGCGTCTGATTTATTTATTTATTTCTTTATTTATTTCTTTCAGACTCAATACATGGATTTATGTTAGTATCTCTTGATTATCAGGAATATCCGAAATCAGAGTAAATTGGTAAGTACAAAATTAGTTCTATAGTACATAGGTAGTGTAAAAACTACATCTCACAAGAAATTAGTTCCCTAGACATTCCAAGATTCATAAAGTTTTATCACGTCATGTACCTTAGTTAGAAGTTATCCTAATAAACAAATAGAACTTTCGCAGAATTCTTAGAAATCAGTCTTTAGGTAATAGACGATCTAGATTCTAGAATAGTTTCAATACAAGTTTTCTCCCCAACTTAAGGGAATCACATTTCTCGAAAGAAGCAAGTAGGTACCATTAAAATTATCTTACCTTGCCAAACGAAAAGTTTTTACACGAAATAGTTTTAGTTAAACATCAAGGTTCCAAATTCCATGAACTTAGCAAGTACTTACGAAGCAATTTCGCCACTTTTGTTTTAAGTAATAAATTACGAACATAAATAAGACTTGACAATCGTAAATCAAACTAATGCTAAAATTAAATAGAAGTTTCAAATATAAATAATTCAATGAATAGTCCTGTGAAGTTATAACGAAGGAAAATTTAACAATATGGCCATTTCGGTGTTAAATTCATTTAAAAGTTTAAAAGTAAAAGAGGTCAGTTAGGCATATAAAGGTTAGTCAGGCATATATTATTGTATTATAATACTTCATACTATTATTTATTATATTTAGGTGCACAGGTACTCAGAACAATTCGGAATAATTGATCGATCATTCGATTAACCATACTCTATATACGGTTTATGAAGTTTAAGTCAAGGTCAAAGTGAAGTTCATATCATTAACCGACTTAAATAAGTTTGCCTTCTTAATGAGGAAAGTTTCATCGCCTAACTGTGAGATATGTCATAAAATTGAAGATGTGCAGCATTTACTGATGGAATGTGAAAGGAACAAGAATGAGAGGGAATCCTTGGCTAGAGAATTTAAACTAAACCTGTGGGATGTTGGACTTATGCAAAATATTTTAGCTCACCCTAAATCAAACATGTCTAAATGCATTATTTCTACCTTAATAAAGAGTTCTAGGCGATAATTCCCCTTCATTTAGGCAAAAGCATAGTTAAGTACGAAAAGTGTTAATAATATGTGTTTAATAATTTTATGAAAATAGTGTATAAGTTACAATGGGGTTGACATATCCATGTGGATAAAAACCCCTCACCAAATATAAGAGAATAAAAAAAAAAAAAAAAAAAAAAAAACCGACTTAAATAAATAAAGTTCTATGTTTGACCTCTATTTATGTAGGAATGTATGTATTATTGTGGATGATTTTCTCAAGATTGGCTGAACTGATTTTGATGCGGATTTTCTGAAAAGCATATTAATTCACCAAGTTCAAAAGCAGAGGGGTCAAAGTCGGTTTTTTATCGTTAATTTATATAAGTGACTGCTTCATTGGCCGAGTGGTCGCAATTGCGACTGCCGGGCAAGGGGTCTTGGGTTCGATTCCCGGGTCGGGCAAAGTATTACTGGGTTTTTAAAAAATTCTCAGTAGTAGCACGGTGTTTAGAACTGTGTCTGGTATATGGCAATAAGCTCACCGCCTATTACATGGGACTCATAACATAAATAGTGAAAAGTGGGTGTCACATTGTACAGTGGTATAATGCGCACCTCTGCCTACCCCTTCGAGGATAAAAGGCGTGATGTTATGTTTATGTTTTATTTATATAAGTGTGGGAGAGCAATGCTTTGGCACGAATGGGCCGGCTCAACCGGAGTGATACCACGGCCGAGCAGACAACCGACGTGAAGCATTGCTTGCGTTGTGTTTCGTCGTGTGAGTTAGGTTACCGGGGGCCCAATTACTCCCCTCCCCTTTCGTGTCGTGTGTATGAAAAAGATTGACTAATAAAGAACTAGAAAAACTATAAGAATATTAATATGTTCTCTTATTCATAGTTTTTCTACTTTCAGCCAATAATGAACAACGTGACCGTCAAAGTGGGCACACTGTTTGAATGTGAATCCATTCAAGAACATTTGGATTACACTGAAAAACATTTTATCTACGATCCAATATGGCGGCAGACTGCTATCGGCTGTACCATCTTATGTCTTCTAAGGGATATGTACAAATTCAAGTAAGTACGATGAATACTAAATGTGACAAAGTCCAATTACTTTGAAAGGTAGGTTGAGAAGAAATAGTACCTAATAAAAATTAAGAGTTAGATAAATGATATTAATACTTTTGTTAGGGTTTCCAATTTTCATACAGCCAAAAACACCTCTATAATATTTAGGTCAGCCCTAAAGTCGAACTTACGGATTGCCTTACGGCGCGTCGTGTTCCGCGCGCACCTCAAAGAGACGTCAGGTCACCACAGATGCGACCCAGTAGAGCTGATGCCGCTACAAAGCCGCAGGGGACTCAACGGGTTACCTGGACTCCGGCTCAAAGAGCAGGAGTAATAAAGGGGTGGTTTTTAGTCAGAAAGAGTGTGACATTCCCTCTCGCCTCACCCGGGCGGGAGAATGCATTAGATGATTTTTACCCCTCAAAAAAGGACTCCATGCAGCAACACACAGTAGGCAAGATTATCCGAATAAAATAACAAACTTTCCTTTCTTACAGTGTCTCCTACGTTTTCGAGAATCCAGTATGGAACTTGACATTAAGTCCTTCACTGAGAAATACGACCTATCAGATAAGTACCAAAGCTGATGTCTACACCAGATCTATGAGTTTAACTACTGAGTTTTTGCAAGATTCCTACCCTGTACTTGCTATTAATACTTGGCGGTTTGTATTTGTTTTTATTTAGTACAGTATTTAGATTTTATGATTGTGACTTTAACAGGGCTTTTTTAACATGTAAACGTGTGTCGTTCATGTATTCCTTTACTTTTTTGTAAAATTAATGTACCTAGTTAAATCGATTGAATATTGTTACGTCCCAAAATGCTACAAACGAGCTTACTCGAAAAGTAACTTAAAGTAAGAATTTGAAAACTACAAATATATTTATATTGTGTTCGACAATAAAATCTTTATGATAAATAAATATTTTTTTTTACAAAGTATGTTTTTTGAAAGTAAACTCTATTCTAAATTTAATATTCCTACAAACTAGTCTATAAAATATTGCCAAATGAAACTTAAGCCCCTCTAGTCTCATATTAAAAGACAAAGACTACTATAATTTCAAAACAGAATGTTTGTCCTTAGGGATTGCTACTAAATGAGCACAAAGCTACATTTTTTATTGCCAAGACATGAAATGGTTTCTGTTAGAAAATTATTTTTGTAAAATACTTGAAATTGTGCTGTACAAAGAGGCTTAAAGAGATTTGATCTCTTTGAATGTTTTTGGGCTTTTGTCGATATCCAATGATAAATTACTTATGAATTCTATTGGGTACTTTTCTAGCACTATAAGGGTCACAAAATTGCTATTTTTTGTAATACCTAGCCATATGCAGTCTGCTTATGTAATGCATTTCAAGTCTGGGAAAGCCATGCTTTGGCACAATTGCGCCGGCTCGACCGGAGTGATACCACGGCCTCACAGAAAACCGACGTGAAAAAACTCTTGCGTTGTGTTTTGTCGTGTGAGTGAGGTTACCGGAGGCCAAATTACCCCCCTAGTCCCCGTCTCCCGAATCACCGAATCCTCCACAATCCTCAAATTCCCAATTCCGAAAAGGCCGGTAACGCACTTGTAACACCTTGGTCGTTCGAGTGTCCATGGGCGGTGCCGATTGCTTACCATAAGGTGATCCGTTTGCTCGTTTACCGGCTTATGCTATAAAAAAATACACCAAATTTTTGAAAAGAAAAATATTGGAACTAGGAGAAACTAAGAAAGAAAACAAAATCAATCATGACCAATGCATGAGCATAACCAGAATTTTACTCACTCTTTCCAAACTTTTACAGTAACTCAACAACAATAATTATTTTTTATTTTCACAGATTTGGCTTCCTTCTAAGTCGTAGCGACAAAAAATTCTTCACCACATTCTACAGCAAACCGTTTGCCAGGCCTGTGTGGAACTGCTTGTATGCCATGGCATTCCTCACCAGCATCATCTTCTACATGCTCAAACGATGGGAGTTTAGCGTGGTGGGCGGATGGCATTGCAGCTTCGTATACGAATCCCTGGTCATCATTGGTGGATATTGCCAGCATAGTAAGTAATTTTTATTAACTGATTTGATAACATGGCATTCTGATAGCGAATAAGGAATACTAGTCTATAAGATAGAATAAGTACTAATTGGGATAATGACAGGGTATGAAAATTCAAAATAAAATTAGTCCGTAAGTAAGGTAATGAAAAAATAATAGACACGTATTTTTTATTTTGTCGAATAATAAAACAATACTTAGATAAATCGAATCAAAGTTTAGAAGTGGGGGCTAAAACGTCATTTCTACGTATAAAATGTACATAGAAGTGACGTCACGCGACATTTCAAATCAATATATCGTCGAAAGTATTCGTTTCTGTAAGAAAATAAAAAATACTTGTGATGATGATTTAAAATAATATACCAGACAGACATTAAAATAAAAAGTAGGTATCTACATACCCTGTCATAATCCCAATTGTTTACCATCGGGTGATGGTAGATACTCAATGTGTCTTTATTATTTTTCACAGTACCACCTATAGACACGAGGTTACCATCCAGAAGAATTGCCTACTTCATCTTCTTTGTGTTCACGTACATCGTGTATACCTTCTATACTTCTAACCTGCTCTCAAATCTGGTGAATGATAAAGACAATGAAATCAACTTGGAGACTCTTGTAGCCACTGAATATATGCGTGTCATTGTGGACTATATGATGAGGAACATCGTGGAACGTGTGAGTATCTCTCGTTCTTCTATGTACCAGTTTAATATTTTTTTTAATCGTTGCCCTACCCTAGGATTTTCTCCTGTGTCGTGGGTGCTTTTACAAACATACAAGTTCACATACACATGACACGCAGACCCGAAACAAACTATTGTGGATTACACAAGGAGTTGTTCCGTGTGGGAATGAAACCCGCGACACGTTGCGCGTTAGCCGGTTGCAAAGCCACCGCACCAGCACCAACCGTGTAGTCCATTTTAAGCACTACATTTTAAGTAGTGATTAATTTTGCACCCTTCAATGATAGGCCATTATTTAAAGAGTAAAATGGAAGTCTTTCTACACAGTAAGATCAAATTGACTGTAGCCGTTGCTTGTGGTTTAGATTTGACCTCGTAAACCGATTAATCTTTAGACGGAACATTTAAATTATAGTCTGAGTAAGATTAGTAGTTTAGTATAGTTCCATATATTGAAGTATCTACGAGTTAAACATTTGGTCCCAGTGAAGTTATCAATAAAGATTTTAATCCGAATATCTGTACCATTATGACTTGACTGCACGGATGGTGCGGTGGCTGGGCAACTGGCTGCCGCGCCTTTTATGTGATCCACAGAATGTTGTTCCTGGTCTGAGTGTGATGTGTATGTCAACTTGTATTTTTGTAAACGCACCCACGACACAGGAGTATGGGACAATGTTTAAAATAAAATATCCTTAACAATTAGCGGACTATGCTGCGTAGAATACTAATATAAGTAAACATCTTACAATTTCCATTAGGTAAAACTTTGGTGTGCCCATTCTTAATTAATATTAAAAGTAGTAACATGTAATAAATATGATTAATTATAGTCTCATATGTACGCCCAGAACTACGGAGCTATATTCGACAGGTTGATGGCAATGCGAGTGGTGACAGTCGTCAAAGGACTGGAGGAAGTGAAGACGGGGCGCGTGGCTTTACTCTCTGATTATACTACCATATATCCGTATATGAAAAGGGGTAAGGGGCAATGAAGATATATACTCATTTGTGTATTTGATTTTTCCATACCTATTTTGGAGACTGCCTCGTTGGCCCGGTGGCCGTAAGTGCGACTGCCGGGCAAGGGGTCTCGGTCTCGACTCCCGGGTCGGGCATAGTATTACTGGATACTGGGATTTTTTAAATATTCTCAGTAGTAGCACGGAGTCTGGAATTATGTCCGGTATATGGCAACAGGCTTACCTCCTATTACATGGGACTCATAACATAAATAGTGAAAAGTGGGTGTTGTTTGGTGTTTGCCATTGTTTGCCAAGCGTATGGACGGGGCTTTAAACAGTGACGAACACTAACAAAGACTGGGCTGAGGCTGTTTGGCAAACAGTTTGCGTTATTTCCACACGCTTGCTACACATCAATGTTTGTGTTTAATATTGCTGGCAAACATCAAGCGAGTCATGGTCATTAGTCTGGGCATTAATCTTTTGATCTCTAGTAAAACAATTATTAAATACCGGCACCTACATCATATATTGTGACTCATATTTTCTTTACTTCCAGTGTACGACAACGATGATATTTGCAAGCTGGTGTCAGTCGACCTGTTTTCCGGAGTCAAAAAGTATTTTCATGCTTCAAAACAATTTCAATACAAGGAACAGTTTAAAATTGGGTAAGTGGTCCCATAATGTCATATAGTTGAACGGAATCCAATAATTTGGTCTTAATGGTCATGTAAATAAAGATTATATTAAGTATCAACCTCCAACTTTACTTTTAAAAATTGCGGTATCAAAATATTGCAAAATAATTGACTCAACCACACGACTAACCCAAACCCAAGAGTTACAACAAAACTGAAAATCATTGAGTCACATTTTTCTTATGGGTTTTGATTGTTGGGGATTCAGGGATTGGGGAGATTGAGGAGGGGGAGAAAATTATTAGACCTCCGGTAACCTCACACATATGACGAAACATAACGCAAGCATTGTTTCACGTCGGTTGTCTCTAAGGCCGTGGTATAACACCGGTCAAGTCGGCTCATTCGTGCCGAAACACGGCTCTCCTACACTTTTAGGCATTTCGATCCATTTTCTTTTCTGACACAAAAATACCTACTTATTTATCTTTTTCCAGCACACTGCGTATAAAAGAATCAGGAATACTACAACGGATAGTTTCAACCGAATTTGAAGAGCCTAAGTGTACGAAAAGCCATCTAATACAAATATCTATGCAACAAATATCAATACCTATTACTATATTAGCGTGTAGTTACGTCATATCATTATTGATACTTGTCGCTGAAAGGATTCACTACAAGAGATATGGTGTATGGCCTTATGTGGAATAAGGGTATGGAAGGTCTAGGGCTTGTAAGTTTCATTGGCAGTGCAGTCTTTTTGTTGTGAGTTCTAAGCGTTTTAATTATATATATATACATATAGACACAATAGCTAAAGATATATGTAGAAAAAGGCAATAGCTGATAGAGAATAGGAAAAATCGAAAGTTTTATAACAATTTGACAATGTTTGTATGTACATCTATACTTATAATAAATCTGTAGAGAGGTCAATTCTGTACATGAAATATATTTCCAAAATAACTATCAGGGGGTGATTAGTGATCGATACTACCTAATGCCAAAAATGGAATAAGTAAAATTTTTGTCTGTCTGTCTGTATGTTCCTTATTTCAAATAAAAACTAGTAGACGGATTTTAACGAAACTTGGTACAATTATTCTAGCTTCATACTCCTGGGGAGGTTATAGTATACTTTTTATCACGCAGCAATCAATAAGAGCAGAGCAGTGAAGGAAAGTGTTGGGAAAACGGGAGAAGTTACTCCATTTTTTAAGCTTCCGTCGCGTGAGCAGGCTTAATAGTTAAACCTATATAGAAATCATGTATGACGGAAAAGTTCTTAATAAAATTATCTAAATAATATCCCACAACAGCACACGTCTATCTTTTATGGTTGACTCACAAAAACACGTGTAACTCCCGATAATACTGATGTATTTTAATATTTATTCGTGTGTTCATTATAATCCTTATCCTTACTATAATATTATAAATCTGAAAGTGAGTTTGTTTGTTTGTTTGTTTGTTCCACCTTCACGCCGTAACTACTCAACTTATTGCTTTGAATTTTTGCAGACGTAAAGTTAGAAGTCCGGATTAAATAATAGCGTACTTTTTATCCCGGAAAAAAATGATATTCCCGAAGAAAAACAAAAGTATTGGTATAGATGGCGCTGTGTGTATTGGTATATGTCACATAGGCTACTTTTTATCCTTTTGTGACGCTAGCGAAGCCGCGGGTAAAAGCTAGTTATAAATATTGCATAAATTTGTTTCAAAGTTACTTTACAAGTACTTAATTTCGTATTCGTAGAAAAGATGAACTTTATCTTTTCGAAATTAAAAATGTATGTTGTATTCCAATATAAAATATTATTATGAAATTACTTTTAATATATGCCTTCGTGTTTTAATCATAATTATTTTTCAGTAACTTTGATCCAAAATGAAAATTATGTATGTTAATATGTAGATGATGGATGTGTTTTAAATAAATATAATTACTATGTGTAAATTTCTATTTTAAGTAATAATATTTGTAGTATGTTACGTATCGGTGCCGACACATGTACCTACACCGTGATCAACGCCGTGCCACGAGGACCATATCTGCTGAATCAGGACATTAGACCTACTTTGATGCAACGAAGTATTGCAACACCTAAACTGCTGAGTCGTCTCCTCATGTCACCGCCTCGTGCCCAGCTGCGATTCGCTGCATCATCAATCACCCCACTAAATTTAACCTCAATAGATTTTATTGAAAACCTTCTTTCGAAATAATTTTAAGAGAAGAAAGCAGTGTTGTTCCAACTTCGAACGCATTAGCTCTTAGGTTAGTTAGATTTTAAGAGTTATCATGTAATTTTAATTGTAATAAATTTAGTAAAATGATCATAGTTTCCATTTGCACCCTCTGTCGGTGGCAGAAATATAACTAGTAACATACACGGTTCATTCATATTAACTTTTGGAAAACGTTTGACTAGTTTCGAGGCGCACCTGCGAGCCCCTGTGTGCCTCGAAACTAGTCAAGAGTGTAAGCACTAGAATTACCTACGTATGAGACGTCGACATTCGTTGAATATTTTAGATAGTTTCACACTATTTAGACTATAATTTTCAAACCTAGAAGTTCACCTCGAATACAAGTCGGTTTTCGTACTTAGAACACAAGTCAGGTAACAATATAATAATCCTAAAATGTATTTGTAAAGTTCTGTAAGTAGTTTGCCAGTGTTAATATTATTTCTTGGAATACAAACAAACGAACTGGATAGTTATAATATTAATGTATAACTACTATATATATATTTATTTTGTATAAGTTTCAGATATGCTACGTTAGGTATAATAACAAAATATAGATAAAACTAAATGTTGCGGTTTTTTATAATCAATGAAATACCTACAACTTAAAATTAACTTAAACTAATATTAATATTATACTTAAATACAAACAATCAAAAACTAAAATATCATACATACATACTCACTGTGGCAGTTGTGCACTTAATGTTCCATGACCAAAATTGTATTAAATACGGTCCTGTAATTAATTAAACCACGAAACAAAAAATTAAGCAATCAAAATATAATTAACCGAAATAAGTAAATAAACAAGACATTCAAATCCCCATTACCTACGCCACCGCTATAGTTAAACTTTATAAAAATGTACCCAAAATTGTTCATTACTTCCAAATAATTTAACAGCAATTACTAAGACGTAGTCTTTAAAAACATTACCCTCTTTCCAAACAATCGGTTAGCAAACAAACGACCGAAAATTTCGAAACGAACTTCAAAAAACAGTTATAACGTTTCTATGGATTCCTTTTGAAAGACAGGAACGAAGCAGTTGTAAAAAACAACCTCAAAAAAACGGTTAGCCGCCATTAATTTAACGGAAAACGTTCCACGTGACCAACTTTTATATCTGTCACGTGGTTTTAATTGTCAACGCGGACTGCTATTGACAGGGTAGGCAGGGGAGCTCATATAACTCTCGTATCGATCCAATCTCTTTCTTATTTTAATTTGATCACGTAGAAAGTTTTTGAAGTACCTGAATGAATCAATCAAGGTGATTTGTAGTCTAGGAAGGGAGAGGAAGGCACGTAGATTTTATTCCGGTTATTATACAAACGTAATGATGGTTTGTTGATGATTAAGAAGTTTTATTAATGCTATGACTATCTTAAATCGAATTGGTTATTATATTCGGAAAACTCTTAATAATAGCACGGTGTCTGGAATTGTTCCTTCGAGAAGGGGCCTTTAGTTAGCAGTGGTAACTTATAGGCTGATGATGATGACAATGATGTTAGGAATTGGGATGATGACAGGGTAGGACAAGTAAAAATCTAATAAGTCAGTTAGGTACTGAAAAAATATTTTTTCTTAGACACATATTTTTTTATTATGTGGTATAATGAAATAATACTTAGATAAAACGAATCAAAGTTTAGGATTGGGGGCTAAAACGTCATTTCTACGTATAATGTACATAGAAGTAAAGTGACGTCACGTGACACTTCAAATCAATATATCGTCGAAAGTATTCGTTTCTGTAAGAAAATAAAAAATACGTGTCTAATGATTTAAAATATTCTACTAGACGGACATTAAAATAAGAATTAGGCATCTACCCTATTGTACATCCCTACCTATTACATAAAATTTATAACAAGCCTGGTAGAAATGGATGTTACATTGTAATATAACATCATAAATGTCTAATTGCCTAACTATTCAGAGAATAAGAGATGAGATGTTGTGTTAAGCTGATTCCAAGAAGAGTTAAGAAGTTATAGGCATAAGATAGTAAGCTAATAAAACAATAATAACTTAAGCTTTCAGCTTACATAAGAGTATTGCGATTTACTTTGTTACTAGGCCTGAATTATAACAAAATGTCGCGGTGGTTGGGCTGAGCTGCCGGGTATTCCGGGTCTGGGTATAATGTGTATGTGACATTGTATGTTTGTAAACGCACCCAAGACTCAGGAGAAAATCCTAGTGTAGAGCAACGTTTTTTTTAAATAAAAACTAAAATAAATCAATCAATAACATGAGATTTTTTATGGCATAAGCCGATAAACAGCAGATGGATCACCTGATAGTAACCAATCGGAGTCGCCCATGGACACCTGGAACACCAGAGGCGTTACAAGTGCGTTACCGGCCTTTTGGAGAATTAGGAGTTTGAGGATCGTTGGGGATTCAGGAATTGGGGAGATTGGGGAGGGGGAGGGTAATTGGGCCTCCGGTAACCTCACACACACGACGAAACCCAACGCAAGCGTTGCTTCACGTCGGTTTTCTGTGAAGCCGTGGTATCACTCCGGTCGAGCCGGCCCATTCGTGCCGAAGCATGGCTCTTCCACACTTATTCGTATATATTACATCTAAGTTTTCATTACCATTTATCTCCGTTCGTAAATTCTATCATGATAAGTATCTACTTTTAAAATCTACACCACAACTAAATTTGTATCAATAAAAAACAAAACTTTAATATCTTATGGCGAAAATAACGGAAATAACCAGATATTTATGGAACTTAATTTAATATTGTTAAAAGGAAAATTAATTATTTGTAAACATATCTAATAAATGAAATGATAAAATGATTTGATTATAAATTATTGCCTGTCTCATTATCGAGTGGTTGCAAGGGCGACTACCGGGCAAGGGGTCTCGGGTTCGATTCCCGGGTCTTACTGGCTTTTTTTAAATTTCTCGGTAGTAGCACGGAGTCTGGAATTGTATCCGGTATATGGCAATAAGCTCACTCTCTATTACATGGGGCTTATAACATAAATAGTGAAAAGTGAGTGTTACATTGTTCACATTGCGGTACTCAATGCGTGCGTTAAAGATAAAAGGCGCGATGTTATATATGTATTAATTATTGTTATCGTTGTTATTGAAAAGTTATAGTTATTTTATTGAACCGTTTAAGCAAATCTTTAGGGACAGAGATAAAAAAATTTAAGCAAAATTCTAGATAATAAAGTAAAACAATGAGAGAACAAAGTTATGCGACTTTTTACTTGTTTTTATGACATTTGTAACGAATAAAATCGGCGGAAAGTTTTTAGAAACATTGATAATTATTATACATAACTTTATATCAAACTTCGAAATGGTCTTGGCTTAGAAATTGACAATAGTATTTATTTTACGATTTGACTTCGATAAATTTTCTTTATACTACTTTCATAATTTAGTACTACGAACATTATAAGGTATCATGTAAA